CACTTTCAAATACCGCATTTTTCAGTTCTGCCCTTGGGGCCTTTGCAGAAATGCCCCTGGTACCGTACGGGTCACCGGTACTGATACCGGCTCCCCGTACGGTACGGGGGACCAGTCTCGTACCAGTTTTGAGCTGCTGTACTCGTACTCAGTGGGACTTGCTCCTGTTCAGCATTCGGAATCCAAGACTTCGACTTTGTGTCCTTGCCACTGTGTCTGCGTCCGGCCCTCAGCCGTGTCGAGTGAGTGAGTGTGTGTGTGTGCTCTCTCTCTCTCTCTCTCTCTCTCTCTCTCTCTCCTCTCCCTCGGCTCTCCCTGTCTCCCTCAGCCTCGCGCTCGTCACACTGGTATCGGAGCAGTTCGCTCCCCCATCGCCGCCGCGATCTTCATCATTGCCGAGACCTTCGTCGCCGCGGTGACTACCACTGCCGCCGTGATCTTGCCGCCGCCGTGGTCCTCGCCGACGCAATGATCTTCGTCGCTGCCTTGATCCCCGTCGTCGTCACTGCCAGGTAAGCAGCAAATTTTTTTTTTTTTTTTTTAGTATTCATCTTCTTCTTCTTCCTCTTCTCCGATTGCTTTCCCCCCCCATCCGCTATCCTCCCCCCGTTCCTACGTTCCCCCCAGGCTGAAGCCCCGACCTATTCCCCCCCGACCTGTCTCTTATACACATCTAGATGTGTATAAGAGACAGGTTGTACTTCGTTCCCCCCCCCTTCTCCCCCTGCGCGCTTTACATCTCAAAATCAGTCTCTCCACAAATATCTTAAAATTTTATTTCACCCAAAAATTGCAATTCCTTTCGAATCTTTGCATTCAAAATTTCTTTTTCGTACCGAAATTTTAAATTTGAAAATTCTTTTGAATTTCAAAAGTTCTTCAAAATTAATTTCTCCTAATTCGAAAATATTCTTTCCTCCTTCAAAAGAAAATCTTTGCGAATTTCGGGTAAAATCGAACCTTTAGTACAAATTTAAACTTTTACAAACCCGAACATTTGAAGTACTTAAATAATTAAATCCCGAAAAAGAACCAAATCAACTTTTAAATCCGAATTCAACTTTCTTTTCGTTTTGAAAATTCTCGGATTTCTTTTTCAAATTTCGTTTTATTTTTCTTGAATTTAATCTTTTCTTTTTCAACATTCCTTTATTTTTTTTAAGTATTTCGGAAATCCCAAATTAAATTATTTTCATAATTATCATTTAAATTCGTTAAAAATTCAAAATAACCCCCCAAAATATAGCAAAATGTTTTGCAATTTTCCACTTATTCCAATTTTATTTTTTTTGCATTTTGTCATGTAAAATAGCCCGATTTTTTTTTTTTGTCACTTAGAATTTCTTTCCAAGAGTTTTTCCCTTTTTGAAAATTAATCGAATAAATTTGAATTTCATTATCTTGAAATTTTAATTTTTCCCTTTTCCTTTACCCCGACTTTTCTGCAATTTTTCTTTGCCAAATTTTATTCCATTTGAAATTTACATTCTGATTTTAATTTTCTTCCCCAAAACTTTGCCCCCAAATTTTCATTCTTCCCCCTCCCCCCCCCCCCCCCCCCCTCTCATGACAACTTCCTCCAACCCCGATTTAAATCAACCATCATTTTTCTAAATCGGGATTAGAAACCACTCCCACATGCCACCCCACCAATCCAAGACCTCCCAACGCACCGCCGCCGACGCCGCTGCTGTCACCATCCGTACCGATAACACCGTCGTCTCCTCCATCTTGACCAAGAAAGACATCACCCCGCGCCAAGCCCGCTGGCTAGACTTCCTTGCCCAATTTACCTTTACCATTTGTCACACCCCTGGCAAGAGCAACCGTGTTGTCGATGCCCTCTCCGGCCGCCCCAATCACAAACCCCCCGAGAAAGTCTATGCCGCCATGACCCACATCCACCTCCTGCCATCGCTACACCCAAGGATATCTCTCTTGTCCCGACTTCTCCACCATGTACAACAAACTCCGCGACCTCGACCCCGTCCCCGACGACTCCCTACATGACAACCTCCTTTACATTGAGACCAAAGGCACTTGCCGACTTTGCATCCCTTACGCCCGTGGCCTCCGCACCCAGCTCTTGGTCGAGCACCACGACGCCAAGACCGCTGGCCACCTTGGTTTCCAGAAAACCTTTGACACCATCTCCCGATATTTCCATTGGCCTTCTATGCTTGCCGACCTCAAAGCCTACATCCGCTCGTGCCCCACATGTCAGGTTGTCAACCCCTCGAACCGGGCCAAACCCGGTAAGCTCCAATCATTGCCCATCCCCACGCACCGATGGCAGTCCGTTTCCATGGACTTCGTGTGCGGTCTTCCCAAGACGGACCGCGGGCATGCATCTACGTCATTGTTTGCCGCCTGACCAAACGTGCTCATTTCATTCCTTGTACCACCTCGCACAATGCCAAAGACATTGCCATTCTCTTCTTCGACCATGTCGCCCGACACCACGGCCTCCCCGAGAATATCATCAGTGATCGCGACCCCCGCTTCCTCTCCCAATTCTGGAAACAACTCTTCCATGCCTACGGAACCTTGCTCAGGTACAGCACTGCATTCCACCCACAGACTGACGGACAAACCGAGAAGATGCACGATACTCTCCAAAGAATCCTGCGGAAGTATTGTCATCCCCACCATCATGATTGGGATCAATTGCTCACCGCCGCCGAGATTGCCTACAACAATGTCGTTTTCCCTTCCACCGGCATGTCCCCTTTTTACCTTGACCTTGGCTATCACCCTTGCTTGCCCTCTGATTTCCTGCTCCCCTCTCAACTCAACCCATCCTCCCCCTGCCCCTCTCTCATTGAATGGGTTGCAACAATGAACTGTCTCCTAAGAGAAGCAACCGAGTCAATCCAACACACCCAGGAACAACAAGCTAAACAAGCCAACAAGCATCGCTGTGATATCACCTTCCAAGTCGGGGACAAGGTCTGGCTCTCCACCAAACGCTTTGAACCCGAACAGGGCTTGTCAAAGAAACTCTCAAACAAGTGGCTCGGTCCCTTCCCCATAATTGGACAAACCTCCCCCATTAATTACAAACTCCAGCTTCCCCCTGACATGAGCCGTGTCCACCCTGTCTTCCATGTCGAATACCTCAAAGAATACCATGAATCCCCGCCACAGTTCTCTGATCGCCCTCACCCTCGTCCCCCTCCTATCCTGATCCCCACTGGACCTGAATTCTCCGTGGAATCCATCATTGGCCGTAGAACAACCCAAGTCGTTGATCACCCAGAACAAATCAAAGAATACAAAGTCAAGTGGACAGGCTACCCGGATGAAGAATC